CCCCCCCCCCCCCCTCACCTCTCAAAAGCGGAAACAGCAATCAATGTCTGGGTGTCATGGAATGGACGAGTGCGCGTGTGTAAGCAGGGGATCGAATTGGCACCGATGCACACCAACACACACACGCGCACGAGCAGCCATTCATCCGATCATTGGAAGGGTCTGTGGCTGTGGCTGGGTGGAGTATGTCCACCAACACAGCTGGCTTGGCCTGGCAAAAAGGAGCGGGCACTGCCAGGCCAGGCCATGCCGCACCGCACCGTGCTGTGCTGCCACCAGCACCTAGACACGCCACGTCAGTCCACACGCACCACAGAAGGAAGGCAACTATGCATGCGATGGGCTGAGTGGGTGGACCGGAACAAATGGCGAAATGGTAAAGAGCCACACCATGCCATGCACCCCCTCCCCTCCCCCCCTCCCATGTCTGTGTGAGTGCATCCGTCCCCACGTCAGCTGTTGCTTAAAAAGCCGATGAGGGGCGGATGGATGGTTGGGTGGGCGGACGAGCAACGACAGAAAAAGCACCACATCGGCCAACGATGCAAGGCAGGAAGGCAGCAACGCAATCGTGTCTTATGAAGGAGTGAATGTGTGTGTGTGTGTGTGTGGTCTATGAGCAGGAAAGCGTGTGTCGATCACAAAATGGTGCAGGCGAAGCAACGAACGAACCGCTGCCATGCACCCCCTATCGGGAACGGAATTATGAGCAATCTGTCCTTCTTCTCTCGCCTCCCTCTCCTCCGACCCTCTCTCTCTTGCTGCAGACAGGCGCATGTAAAGAATATGGGAAAATCTTGCCGGCAGGTAGGTCTGTCTGTCTGTCTGTCCATCCAGAGGTGCCGCCAGACTGTGGGGCAACTCCTGGGCAGCCACGCATCAACACAACACTACGCAACGCAACGCAACGCAGACCCTCTGTGTCTCTCTCTGCAGCCCCTCTCTCCCCCTCCCTCGGCCAGACCAGGCCAGCGATGAAGAGCGATTGGAATGGGCTCGATCTCTCCCCCTCTCCAGATGTCCCCCTCTCCAGATGCCCACCCAGCTCCTTCACAACCGCCCCAACGCGCCCCTCCCCGCCCGCGTGTGTGTGATGCGACAACACTATCACATGTCTCTCGCCAGACCAGGGAGGAACAGAACGAAAGGTCGATATCCTGATCGGTCGACCCACAAGACTCAGTAAGGGAAGAGGGACAGAGAGGGACAGAGAGACGAGTCAGGAGACGAGAAGCCGAGACGAGACGACAAGAGAGAGCAAAAATGGCCATCCATCCATCCATCCATCGGAGAAGCCAGCCTTGGGAGAAACATCTAGGTAGATAGGTAGGTCAAAACCAGCACGGCACACGCGCAGACGATGGAATGAATCATGGGAGAAACCGACGGACCGATCGACACCGCCCCACGTGTGTGCGCACTAATGCACGCACCGACGCCACTTGACTGACTGTACACGGAACAGGTCTGTTTAGGCAGGCGGGACAACGCGACGACGGACGACACGGGCCGACACGAAAGAAGAGATGACGAGTGAGTTGGCCGCGCAAGGGAGAGAGAGGCCAGTGGTGCTGAGGGAGAGCGGCAGAAAAATTGACAAGGCAGTCAGGCAGGCAGGCAGGCAATCTCCTTTCGACCCGATCGTACGTACGGTGCCGCAATCAGTCAACACACACACACACACACACACTCACGCGGAAATGAGACAGACACGGAGAAAGACTCAACCACGCCATCCATCCATCCACCGATTCGCAGCATCCGTCGTGTATCCAGCCATCGACCGCCCCGCCCCACACGCATCTTAACGAAAATCTCTCAGAAATCCACCGTACAAACCAACCAAGCCGAACGACGACCATACAGACCAGGGAAGGAACCAACCTGTACAGAACGATCCATCGATCACCACAGCCATCCCTCCCTCCACCCATCCTCAGTCCCTCACTGATCACGCCCACCCATGCTGCCCCCCTCCCCTCCCCGGCCCAGGGCCCCCCTGACCCCTGGTCTGCTGCGGGCGCATACCACCCAGACCGAAACTCGCACCCATGTTGGCCAGGTTGCCCAAACCACCCAGCCCGCCCCCATGAGACCCGCCCAATCCCCCACGCCCGCCCAATCCTCCGCCACTCACACCAGGTGGGGGAGGAGGTGTGGGCGTCGGCGAGGTGGTGCCCCGCGGCCAGTTGAACGTGGACGCCTGCTGCTGCTGCTGCTGCTCGGGGGGCGGGGGCGGCGGCGGGCTGCTGGGCGAGTGAGGGTGAGAGTGCAGTGCGGCACCACCCATTGGCATGGACGCAGGCCCCTGGCTTGAGGCGAAGCCGGGCGGCGGTGCGACGTCCATCTCTGCTGGCGGGCTGCCGGGGAGCGGTGGCCGGAAGACCGAGTGAGATGACGCCTGTGCGTGCTGGGAGTGAGGGGATGCGCTTGGTGAGGGGAAGGGGGGCGGCGACGCAGAGGCGGCCGGTGATGGTCTCGAGTCAGAGGGCCTAGCGAGATCGCTGTCGTCCATTGGGCTGCCGAATCTGGCGGAGGGCACCGCTGTGTGGGTGTTGGGGCTCTGCATGGGGGCGTCCTTGGGCTCGCCGACGTTGTGGATCTTGAAAAAGGCGTTCTGCTGGTCCGTCTGGTCGAGCTTGAAAATGGGCCGCATGCGGCGATCCTGCAGGCATGGGTGGTGGCGCTTGTGGTTGGTCTGTCTGTCTGTCTGTGTGGGTGCTTGCCTGGTACATGACGGACGACATGAGGAAGTGGCTCATGAGCATCTCCTTGCCCTGGATGCGCGCGTAGGTCACGCTGCAGATCTTCTCGCTGTTGAACTTCTCCCAACGGCTGCCTGTACGCAGCCAGCGCAGCCAGCCCAGACACACAACGCGCCACAGCAACAGACACAGAGAGACATTCCGACGTGCCTGTGCGGTGTGGCTGCGTGAGCGATGGTGCACCCACCTACCGTGGAACTGTATGTGAAATGGCGGGATGTACGTGGGCTCGATGAAGTTGATGAATGCGTAGCCGACGTTGCACTGACCACACAGACGACGGCAGCGATGAGCTTCTCCCTCGCTGCCTGCCTGCCTCCCTGCCTCCCGTACCTTGTTTTTGAAGTCGATTGGCAGGTAGAAGAAGTCATATTGTCCCCTGTAGCTGCGATTGATCGTCTGAAGCAACATCCGCTGCCTGCACAGCCGCACAACCATCCATCCATCCATCCATCCCTGACAACAGCTGTTGTGCTGTCTTGTGCCACCTCAGCTCGCTCACGTGTATTTGTTGGGGATGTTTCGGATCATCAACGTCGTCCGCTGCTCCTCCCCAGACTTGATCTGCACACAAGACACCATACCCACAGACACAGACAGGCCCTCACTTCCTGGGACACCAATACTCATGGCGCCATCGTGGTCATCGGTACCTTCTCCAGGTTGATTTCGAACGCCTCTTTGATGGCCTTGGCGTCGCCCGCCGGACACTGCGCCCGACCGCGTCGCTGCCGCCTGCCCCGGCCGGTTGGGTGCGGCGATGACGGCTGGCTCGGTGTGGGCGTGGACGGCAGCCTGACACGCACAAACAACAAACACGACGAATGGACGCCATTGTCGCCAATTCGTCACACGTTGTCTGTTGTGTTGTGTGTTGGCTGACCCGCTTTCGTTGCCGTCGCCCAGCGCCCCGATGGCCCCCCTCAAACTCTGCATGTCTATCCCGACACTCATGCTCTTCCTTATCGTCATCTCCTCGCTGCCGCCCTGCACCCCAACACCGCCCCCAGCACCGCCAAGCCGCTGCTGCATGGTGCTCTGGTGTGCCACCATCATGCTGTCTTGCGAGGCAAAAAAGGTGCCATTGCTGATGCTGCTGCCGGCCTGAGTGGTGTCGGTGAGGGCGAATGGGACGTCCCCCGAGCTGCGGTTGCGATTGAGGGGCCCGGGGAATGGGGCGCCCGTGTGGGGAAGGGGGGGCTGCAGCAGGTGGGGAGACGCCGACTGAGCGCTCGACGGATCCTGCATCCAACCAACACAGAGGACACACAATGGAACGAACCGCGAGTCGGTTCACATGTGCTGCCTGCCTCGTTTAGGTGCGCACCGCTATGTTGGCGAATCCATTCATGTGTCGGTCTGGGTGTGCCTGTGGTGGCTGCGGCTGCCCATTGCCGTCGAAGCCGGGCGGGGGCGGAGGGAACGACCAACCGCCCAGTGAGCGGCTCTGGATCGCCTTCAGACCAGGCAACTGACACACACAGGACATGCAAACCAAAACAACACATACAGTTGACCAACTAAGAACTGATCTCTCGGCTGTCTTTCTTACCTCATCGACATGATCGAATGTGTCGACTCCCGCCAGCTCAGGCAGATTGTTGGACTGGTCCGGCTCGCTGGGCGTGGCCGACGACGCCAGCATGGGGGAAGATGGCGTCGGCGAGCCCACCGGGGAGCAGCCAATGGAGTCCAGCAGCGGCGACACGAAGAACTTGTGTCGGTGCATGCCGCCGACCCCCCCACTGTGGTCAGTGTGGCTGATGGCCTGGTGGAATGACTGCGGCATGAAGCCCGTGTAGAAGGGGCGGTTGCCTGACGGGTGCCAGTCCTCGTCGGCGTGGCTGAACGACCGGCCGACCGAAAAGTCGATGGACGACGGCCCGTCCTCGTTCTCCTCCATCCTCAGCTCAAACTCTACGCTGTGGCCCTCGGGGCTGCTCGGGTCAGACGACGAGTACAGCGGCGCAGACGCGCGATGCGCCACGTCGTACTGGCGCGGGGGCGTGTGGGGCGCCGAGGGAGAGGGGGCGTGCGCGGGTGGCGGCTGGGGGGACAGTGACGGGGGCTGCTGCTGCTGCTCCCGCTGGTGCTGCTGCTGCTGTGCGTCAGGGCGGGGCATGTGCCTGAGGTCAGAGGCGACCATGCCGTCCTCCCTGGGCGTCGACTCGCCAATCGACGACCCGTCGAGCCCGTCGCTGTCGCCACTCTCATTGGGGACGGCCTGCACTCGCACCACGAGCCCCTTGCCGCCCCCCTCGCTCCCACTGGCGTTCCAGCTGCCCACGCCCCCCTCCTTGCTGTCCGTCCCGTCCGTGTCGGTCGTCTCGTTGGAGTTGCTCATCTTCTTGAGCGGGCCCTTGACCTCTCCCTCGCCCTCCTGCGACTGCGATCCATCCGACGAGCCGTGAAGGTCGGCTGCAGGCGTCATGATGGCCGCCTGCGGGGGTGGCTGTGACGGCTGTGACGGCTGTGCAGTGGTGGTCGTGGTGGTGATGGCAGCCTTCTCGCAGATGGCCTCGGCTTCGAGCTCGAGGGTCTGCAGGTTGATGGCGCTCTCGGGAGGGCCGCCGGGAGGGGCGGGGGACGGGACGGGGGGAAGCTGGTCAACAGACGGTTGGACACGGCAGAGAATGGGTGACGATTGGATCTCTGCCCTTTGCTTCCCTGGCTTACCGTCGGGGGGTTGGTCTGTTGGCTTCTGTTGGTGTCATCGCTTGGCGGCGTGGCTCCGTGAACGTGGTGGTGGTAGTGGTAGTGATGGTGGTGGTGATGAACTGAATGGACGGACACACACAGACGGACGGACCAAGAAAGGACAGAAATGGAAATCCGTCAGTGCGCATCAAGCACTCATCGCTGCATGCATCCGGCTGCCTCGATGTGTTGCCCTGTCCTCCTTCCCCCACCTCCCTCCCTCTCCCTCCCTCACCTATATGGATCTCTCTGGGCGGTGCTGCAGCCCCACTCACGGCACCCAATCCCTCTCCCTGGGCACGTGCCTGATCACTCATATCCCACAGAGGCGCTATGCTGCCAATCTCTCAGGAAAAGCTCCTCGACAAAGCTATGCAGTCGCCGGCGATGAAAGGAAAGCTCCCAGCGACACAAAGACGAACAATTGCGGTAGCCTAGAAGTCCACAAGGCTGTTGTGGGCGTCAGGTGGGACTTCGGTAAGGGCTGAATGAACAATCTTCATCAGACAGCAGGGCGGGAATGGCGGAAGATGCTCTCGCGATTGAACAGCGAACCCCCTTGCGCTGGGGGCCTGATTTGCCTCTATTCAGCACTTTTCCAAGGCTTCGAACCTCTTGCCTCGTCCTTTGCCAACGTTGCTCACTTTTGCTCGGATCGCCAATGGCGAAAGGTTTCACAGACCCTAACTCAGAGGTGAACCTGAGGGGTGGATCTGGAACTCGTCCAAGCGCCCCAGTGACAGATCGAAGACCCGTGCACTCTCTTTGAACCGACGCAACCACCGGGAGCAGCGAGGGCCGCGTCAGGGCCCCCAGTCTCAGACGTGGAGTCTCCCCCGAAGGGAAAAGGCTCTCCTCCACAACACAGAAAAGGAAGAGTATGGCGAGCCTTGCGATGAAGAGCATGCAGAGTCTGCGTCGGGCCCACACAGGGTTGTTGGACGTCAACTTTGGGACCCGGTCAAGTCTGCGGGGAGACCTTGTTCTCCACCCATTCGGGGAGGTCCGAATCCGCTACGATTCGTTCATGCTCTTCTTCATCGTCTTCTCGGGTAGGAATTGCCATTGAAGAAGACGTAGATCTGTGGAGAGATATATTCGTGTGTGTCTGTTTGTGTCGTGCAGCTGTGTTGGAGCCGTTTGTTGTGTGCTTTGACGTGTTTCTGGACTCGCCATGGTTCGAACTCAACCGTGTACGAATCCTTCATGCACTGACAGACACACACTGACACACTGACACGTGTGTGCGTGTGGCGATGCCAAATCATGCAGTTGGTGGACGCCATCTTCATCCTTGACCTCTTTGTCAACTTCAACGTGTGTCAGCCAACACCTGAAATGCACACACAGAGGTCTCACACACGGTCTTACTGTTGTTCCATCTGCAACGGATGGCTGTTTGTGCAGACTGGCATCGAGTCTGACGGACAAGTAGGAGGAAGCCGGATTATGTGTGGATGCCTGCAGAGACAGAGAGGTGTCTCTCCATTTCTCCCATTGTTTAGGTCATTCTTGACCGTCGACAGATCGCCAACAAGGTGCAGAGAGCGGACGAAGTGTCAGAAGGCCGTTCCTTCTCCCGCTTGTTTTGATTGTGTCTCGTCGGTGTCGGTCAGTACCTGAGGGGCTGGTTTTTGTTCGATCTCCTGGCCTCCATCCCGATCGACCTCATCTTCCTCTGGACTGTCGGCGGAGAGAAATCCACAACCGCCAAATACTTCCGGGCATTCAAACTGCTCAAGGCCAGTCAGCAGGAGGCATCTTTTCGTTCCTGTGTAATGGGCGACTTTATTTCTGCGTGTCTCCGTCTACAGATTGCCCGTTTGCTGCGTCTACTCCGCCTCGGTCGCATCTTTGAGAGGCTAGAGGAGGCCCTGGTGCTGAAGGGCTCGGTGGTGTCGATCATCAAGTTCGCCATCCTGGCTTCCCTGACGTGCCACTGGATATGCTGCATCTTCCACGTGGCTGCCCTAAACACGGTCAGCCGGCATTGATAGAAAGAGGGGGGAACACGTGAGGCGTTTCTAGACGCTCATTGTGTTGTGCAGATGTACGAAGACCGAGAGAGCTGGGTTGATGACCATGGTTTGCGGGACGACGGCAATGGCATGAGATATGTCTTTGCCCTCTACTTTGCCGCCTCCACTGGTGGACATCAATCAATCGACACACACAGACAGCCCGCCACTCCTGTCGATGTGCTCACCTTCCTTTGTCTTCCCTGCCTTGATTCAGTAACGACCATCGGCTACGGCGATGTGCGAGGGATATCGACGGAAGAGCTGGTCTGCCAGGTGTTTGCGACCATCGCCGGCAGCTGCATCCTCGCAACCCTCATCACCGTCATCATGTCTCTGGTCAAGGAGCTCAACGCCTCCCAGATGCGCTTCAAGCGCAAGATGGACCTCATCAACACATTCCTCAAGGCCAAGGACCTCCCCTTGCCGCTCCAGAGACGCGTCAGGGAGTATTTCATGTTCCTCAAAAGGTCAGTCGATCGGTCGGTCGGTGAGGGGACGTGTTGGGAGGTTTCGGCGCAAGTGTCTGTCTGCCTGCATTGGTGGACCAGGTATCAGCTGGGTCGTGACGACATGGAGGACGAGAAGTATCTGATGAGCGAGCTGTCGTCGAAGCTGAGGCAGGAGGTTGCTCTGCACATCAACGCTGGTCAACAGACCGACACAGAAAGAAACGCACACCACCCATATTTGTCACCATTGCTGATGTCTGTCACATTTTTCAGGCATTGTTCGTCACGCGCCGGTGTTTCAAGGCGCCGATGAGTCGTTTGTCGCCGACGTCTGCGGCGAAATGCAAAGGAGATACTTCAGGCAAGGGCAAGAGGCACACTCATAGGCACGAGAGAGCTGTCCTTGATTGTTTTCTTTTCTTCGTTGCGTCAGCCCTGGCGAGGTGGTGCTGCAGGAGAACTCCATCGGCGATTCGATGTACATCCTCGCAAATGGGACTGTCGAGTGAGCGACCGAGGCGAAACACATAAGCACACACATGCAGCTGCCCGCGTCTGTGCGTGGATGTATGGCTGCAGCGTGCTCAAGGGCGGCGTCAAGGTTGCAACTCTGTCTGAAGGGTAGGAACCCCGTCCATCTGCAGGCAGGCCAGGCGGGCCATGTGACCTGACCAATCATGTACCCCTCTTCTGCAGTTCTGTGTTTGGCGAGATGGCCTTGCTGGGCATCAGCAACAAACGCACAGCAACAATCAAGTAACTAACGCACATACGTTAGTCATACTTTCACAACAGAATACACCTAGGCTGCATTCTGATCCTGCCTGCCAGGACAGTGACGTTCTGCGACCTGCGGGTGATCCAGCGCGGCACCTTCCAGCAGCTGCTGCGAAAATTTCCGAACGAGGCAGCCCGCTTGGAGGCCGAGGGGAGAAGGCGGCTGAGGGAGCTGCAGATGCTCGACTCAAACAAGGAGAAAGAGGTAGGTACAACATTGGCAAAGACGCCTGTATGAGTTCTCCTTTCTGTCTGGAAGAAGGACAAGTCCCTGCCCGGCAGCCCCCAGTACTCCAGGAGCTGTACCTTTGGGATGAAGCAGTCGGGCAGCCGCACACCTCCACTGCACCCGTCAACCCCCACCCGCAGTCCCAAGAGACACGTCACCGACCCGCTCGAGTCGCCAAAGAGACAACAGCAACAAGTGGAGGAGACACGCGGCATTAGCCACGAAGATCAGCAGCAACAGCCGCAGCAACAGCCGCAGACGCCGGAGTTCCCACGCATGGGCTGGCCTGATCGTGCTGGAGAAGAGGAAGAGGCGCCGGAAGGAGCTGAGACGCTCACGACGATGGCCAGCGTGGCTCTTCACTCCCACTCAGTGGCCCCAGCCCACCTGCAGCTCCCCCCGCTGCCCGCGAGACACGCGGTCTCTCAAACCGCCTCTCGATTGCCCAATCCCACAAGGCAACCATACGACGGCGAGCACGGCCTCCCGGCCGCCAAGTTCAGGGCCACTCTGGCCGAGTTGACGTTGAGGCAGCTGGTGTATGTGCAGAAGCGTGTGGCCACCGAAGTGATCCGTCGTCGGCTGCAGCACCGGCACAGCTCGTACGCCTCCGAGCTGGGCGACTCGACGCCGCAGATGGGCTCGCCGTCGGTGGGCCTTCATCAGTCGGGGGCGAATGTGCTCGAGAGCGACTCGAGTGAGGGGGGTGAGAGGGGCAGAGGGGTCAGGTGGCTGAGCGACGGCGATGATGATGCTGGGAATGCTGATCTGTTGGAGCCGCCGGGGGTGGTGCAAGGCGATGACTGAACAAATGAGCGGACTGTAATGTTTGCAACGACATGTCGTTTGGTAAGGTTGCCAGCATTCATGTCGAGAAACAGAATGCGATGTGCACACGACACACATCCACACATCATGGATCGAAGACAAAGCACAGAGAGAGAGAGCGAGCGAGAGACAGGCATACCAACAGCCCTACGGACAAACAGACGGGCACTTCACGACACGCTAGGTCGTCCCACACGCATCACACTTCATTTGGCACTTGAAAGATTCTTCGCCCCTCTGCCACTGTGCCTTGCTCCATCCTCAGCCTTCTCTGCCTTAGAAATTCTCACTGCCGGCAATGATAACGCCCACCCACCCACCCACCCACCCACCCACATATGCACTGTGTGAGAAAAGCGACTGTTCAAAAGAGAGTGTGGACACGTCGGCCTCACTGCATCGATCCACTTCAGCCAGCCAGTCAGCCAGTGAGCATGCATGGCATGATTGGTGTTGGCACACACAACACACATCCATACGCACGTCACAAGGCCCGGTTGACAGCTCGACACACATGCACTGAAGACACTTTCGGAATACTCTCTCTCTCTCTCTCTCTCTGTGTGTGTGTGTGTGTGTGTATGTGCCTAGCTGGTTGTCACCTTCACCGCTGACCCGGTCCACATGCACAGACAGACGCGGGCACAGGCAACACGCACCCAACCCGCCTCTTGACCCCGAGGTCTTCGGTCTAGCCAGTCTTGGGGACGTTCACGCACGCATTTGCGAATAGGCCGAACTTCAGGTGAGCGTGTTCCTGCATGGATAAGAGGGCATCTTGGTTGGCAGATGGATGGTACGTGTAGGTCACCGGCTTACCTCGGCGGGAGTGACGGATGCGCCGCAAACGTTGCAGTACGTGTGGTTGCACTGCAAATCGCAAATCAGACACACGAAGGATGATCAAGCAATATGCAAAGTTGACGCCTTATGCCCTGACCAGTTTGCACCGCATGAACTGGCAGCCGCCCTTCTTCTCGATGCCCATGCCGCACGCGGGACATTGCTGCAAGACAGTCACACACGGTATTCACTGTCGAGAAGGTCGACAGTCGCTCGAATGCGTATATGCGTACGTGTCCGCCAATATCCCGCAGACACTGCTTGACCCGCTCGTCGGGCGCCTCCTGGCATGTGTAGGGAAGGTGAGGCTCCCCCGAACACTGGGGGCACCAGTACTTCTTGCAACCCAGACACTGCACCTGCACGATCACGATCAAAGCATGATTGATGTGCACTCATCACGTCTGTTTACTTGCCTTCATCGCGTCGCTGGGAACCATACTCCATGCGCAGTTAGGCGTGGGGCACTGAAACATGATGCACTCGAACGCGTCCCGCCCTTCAGGCTTGAAGTGTTGGGCTCTGAAAAAAGAAGTGTTGGCTGTATTCGTCTCGTGCGCGTCTTTGGTTACTTGAAGTCGAGGAACTTCGTGAGGGTCTCCGGCTCGTGCTGGAGGAGGTCAAGAATGTCATCTGTGCGCAGCTTCTGACGACCACAACATGCAATGGCGCGCTCCGAGTCGTGCATGGGACTTCTTCGTTCTCACCGCCTTGCAGTCGTGGTGCGGGCAGATGAGATCTTTGTCTGAAACACACATATTAGACAGACAGAAAGAGCAAGAGCTCTGGTGTGTGTTCAAGGCCATACCGTTGACCTCGCCGTCGTTTGTCTTCGTCTTGACGTATTCGGTCAGGCATGCTCTGCACGTGGGATGGTTGCATGCCGGCCGAAAGGCATGATAGATGCTGACATGCTCCAAACACACACAGCAGAGAAACGTGGTTTCCTGCTGTGTGTGAGTGTGGAGCGGGAAGCCAAACGAGGCCTGGCCCATGGTCGTAAAAAACGAAATGAATGTGACGACTTGTCTGCGCCGCCGTGCGATCCGGCTGCTGCGCGGAAGCCTCCATCGCTGACTGGCTGAAATGCGTCCATTCAATCCCGAATTCGGGATCGCTTCTTGAGCTCGCAAATTGGTTCGGGCTCCCTTGGAGTTCGTGTTTATGGTTGCCCCATCACTCGTGGCTGGGGGGAGACAGTGAGGCCGTCTGTTCGTGTGTTTCATGAATTGATTTGTTCACCCAAGCCGCCCGTCTGGGAGATCTGCTGTGCCCTTTACTGAGAAGGCGTGTTGGGATTGATAACACAGGCAGCGTCGTCGGCCTCACGTAAGCCACCAGGAAAAGAAACGCAAAGGAATCAAACACAGATCCCTGCTGTGTGTGTGCGGCCGCAGTAGCTACAAGGTGACTGAACCACCACAGGTACATGACAGCCACCACACACGACACGTGTGTATGTGTGTGCATGTGTCCTCGGTTAGCCATCTCAATCGGCGCAGCCGCCGGCGGAAGTACAAGATCGCGTCACAAAGAAGGTGTTTGAGCTTCTGCAATCCATGCGGTGGCGTGACATCGTCAACTGGCTGGAAAGAGGCCTTGCCGCCAAGGTCAAGAATTCCGAGGAGAAGGACCACTGCGAATGGGTGGAGGTTTGTGGCTTTCGAGTGCCGGTCCGCGAAGACTTCATCAAGAAGCTCAACGACTCGGCTGTCAAAAGCGTCTTGCTTGGATTTGCGGAGCTGAGCCACGTGTCGGACAGACAATCCGGTAGGAGCTAAGTGCACTGCTCTAGCGTCTTGTATGCAATCCTCTTTGCCTGCTCGCCTCGAAAGGACCGCGAGCGAGTCGACACGTTTGTCTGCAGCTTGCCCTCTCAAGACGCGCAGCCTCGGCCCTCACACCAGCCTCACTCATCGTGAGAACCTCACGCTATCGTCGACCTGAAAAACGGGTCGACCTTCGTCATCACCTGGGAGTACAACAGCACGACAGAGAAGCAGCGCGACCGGTGCCGCCGTTGCGCAAAAAAATTATTTCGACGCGGGTGAATGGAGCAGACACCGGTGTCGCAAGGATGATAAGGACGATGCATCTGATCAGGTCGGGCAAGATCAGATTATTGCTTTGTTGTTCGATAAGAAAGGATCTGTGGCTTTCTTCAGCACTCTAACGCTCCAGACCAACCTGTGCCTCCCACCCCTGCTTCCGGCCATGCATTGAGTAAGAAATAAAGAGCAGCGCCTGGCATTGAGAGAGGGGTTGATGTTGTGCTGTGTGGTTACAGCATTTGGGCCGAGACAGCCTCGTCCTCCGTCATCGGAGGACGCGAAGGTGGCCGAGGCGACGGCTGCTGCGGCCGCGCGGGGGGCGGAGCAGATCCGTCCGAGGATGGGCATGGCTGGGCTGGCCAACGTGGTCCCTCGACCAGGTGAGAGAACAAGCAAGGGCGGGCGGTGTGTGTGCATCGTGTCTGTGTGAGTGGTCTGTGTGTGTGGTTGTTGCAGGCTTCCCAGTGCCTCCGATCGGTCCGGGGATGTTCCCTGCGCCAGGGATGCCGTTCGGCTTCCCCCCACTCATGCCCTTTCAATGGCACCACCCATGACCGTCCCGCCACAGGCACAGCCACAGCCAGCCGTCCCACAAGCCACCCGCGCCCCCGCCCCTGCTGCTGCTGGTTCCGCAGACGTAGGTTTACCGGGTGGCGTCAAGAACAGATATGAGCGGGTGGGGGAAAGAGCAACGACATAGGGGATTTGTAAATGATCGATCCGTGCTTTCCTGAATCGTCAGACCCTTCCCGCGGCGGCTGGTGCAGTTGGTGCTGTACCAGCTGCTGCTGCTGCTGCAGCCATCTCACCTCCGGCAAGGGCATCCCACGACGAGCGTCCGCCAAGTCTGACAAATTCAAGAGTCGATAGCCGACAGGTTTGTGCATCACCTCACTCATGCAGGGAGGGCTACCGCAGAGACAGCTTCTCTCTCTGCGTGCAGGCTGCAGAGCATACGGAGAGTGCCACGTCAGACAACCACCAGGTGAATCGAGAGACCACTGTAGGCATGAAGCGGTGAGACACTCGCCATTCATTAATTCATGCGTGCTTAACCAGAGTTCTCTGCCGCCTTCTGAGTCACGCGCTGCCGATCCCGCTGCAGCTGCTGTTCCACCCACCGATGGAATGCCGGTCGGCAAAGAAAAGAGTGCATGTCCATCGGATCACCGAGCGCCGTGAGCATCGTATGTTTTTGTGTACAGATGACACGTGAGGAAGAGGCCAAGGCGCTTCAGAAGTGGTGGGAAAGTATGCCCGATCCGGAAGCTGACACATCGGATGACATTCAGGTGAGAGAGAAATCAGGTACTCAAAGCACTTCCCATCTGGTGCTTGTTGCAGCCCCGAAAAGAGGCGCCTGTACCGGCTGCGGCCGCAGCGTCTTCCCATCCCCCGTGGCATCCGCCCCACCCACACCCCCTGCCTGCTCCCATCTCTGACCAGCCACTACAAGAGGAGCTCACGAATGGACTGAGCAGACACGTACGCACCACACATCCACATGCACTTTTAGCAAATGTGTTTCTCGTCTCAGGGCGCCGAGCCTGCTGCTGCACCACCGTCATCAAAAAGCGACCGACTCAGCGACCAGCATGTAGGAAGCAAAACAACGTCTGACGTCAGACGATGCACGCAATTAGTGCACGTCTTTTCTCTGCTGTCTGCAGGAGCAAATGGTTGGCGAGTCAGCTGCGGTGCGAGAAGCACATGAGAACATTAGTCGCGGTCCTGACGCTATGGTGAGAGAAGCGGTCTGACACCATGGCAGCGAGAGAGGCCCCTGCGTATTTCCCGTGTTCTGCAGACCACCGATGCTGCTGCTGCTGGTAGTGGTCAACCGTTTGACGCACAATCGCAGCCATCACAGCAAACAAACGTCACGCCCGTAAGAAAGCGAAGAAGGCTCACTTATCTGTTGGCGAACGAGCACCGTACTTCATTCAGCTTCCACCGTCGGTGTCGGACAAACAGCTGCCAAGGGGGCCACCGGTCCAGATCCAAAAGACGTCCAGTCGCGGCCACCGAGAGGTGCCGCCGTCTGGCGTGAGTCAACTGCAATGGAACAAACGCACGTAGAGAGACGGGATGGCATTGTTGTGTGATGTGTGCAGGTGTGGTCTGGCTCATGTGTTGACCCTGCATTCAGCGTCACTGCCGACGATCGCCTGAGTGACATACAAGAGGTGAGAGAGATGCACAGAGCAACAATTCCCTTGCTGCACACATGCATTCTGCCTTCAGGATGATGGTGACGTGATCAGTGTGTCGTATGAGGTCCAAAAGACGCCCACACGCGACCACCGAGAGGTGCCGCCGCGTATCGTGAGTCAACTGCAATGGAACAAACCCACGTAGACAGACGGTATGGCATTGTTGTGTGATGTGTGCAGGTGTGGTCTCGTAGGAAGACATACGGGGACGACGGGCGTGTATTGCGAGTGAGAATGCCCATGTGGTCACATCACCTTGATTGCTTTCACCTCTCGCTGTCATGCAGATGATCGTTGGCAGCGGCCACAGTGAGGCCGAGTTTGCGGCCCTCCACTCCCTCGTGCCTTCCATGGCGGACGAATGTGAATTCACTCTGCTCTACAGGTGCGATACACAGGCCCAACAGTATGTGCCTTAACGCTTTCTCTCGTCGTGTTAGGGCGACTCGCGATGGGCCGTCGTATGGCAAGTTCCTCGGTTGTGTGGGCGATGAGAGCGAGCTGGTGTTTGTTCTCAAGAAAAATGCCTACGTGTTCGGCGCCTACATGAGCGGCGCAATCCCACATCACAGTGACGATGAGACGGAGGCGTGGTTTTACAGCTGCGATGTGTGGCATTTCTCCTTAAGTGGCCACTTCAAACAGCCGACCAAGATGATGGAAGGCCGGCATTCCATCAAAATCATTGGGCGGGAGAGCACAGTGTGGGGTGGGGTGAAGCTGTGGATCGGGGGCCTGTTCGGTGGTGGTGCTGGCCTGGGTTTGGGCTGTGAGGGTGGCGCCGCTGCTGATATGCTCAGCTGCTGTCACTTCATCCCTGACGGACATGCCTGCCTGCCTGAGGGCTATGTGGGGGTGAGGGATGAGAATGGCTATGCTGTGTTTGGGGGCAGTAAGGGCTTTATGGCCGATGAATTGGAAGTCATTGGTGTCCAATACCGGTCACTACTCTCACTTAAGGTCATACACATATCAGTGAGAGAGAGAGCGGCATTGGTGGTCTGCTGTCATTGCAGATGATCCAGGGCGCAACTTTCGATGCCCTCACGTCTGCGGCACTCTATCACTTCCTTGGAGAGGCAAGTGGAAGGAGACTGAAGCTCATCTACAGGTGCGCTTGTCCTGGACTCATGCTCATCTGCATGGGCCTCTCTCTCGTCGTCTTTACAGGGCGACTCGCGATGGGCCGTCGTATGGCAAGTTCCTCGGTTGTGTGGGCGATGAGAGCGAGCTGGTGTTTGTTGTCAAGAAAAATGCCTACGTGTTCGGCGCCTACGTGAGCGGCCGCATCAAGCCGCCAGACGACCCAACAGGCGAGAACATCTACGACTGCGATGTGTGGCATTTCTCGTTGAGTGGCCACTTTAAACAACCGACCAAGATGATAGGCGGGCGGAGAGTGCGGGTGGCCGGGCGGGAGGGGACAGTTTATGGGCGAGCGAAGCTGTGGATCGGTGCGAGGTTGTGGCTGGGATGTGGTGCTGCGGCTGACATGTACAGCTGCCGTCAGTTCGTCGGCAGGTATGATGTACCTGAGGGCTATGTGGGGCCGAGAGATATGCATGGCAAAGCTGTGTTTGGGGGCAGTAAGGACTTTATGGCCGACGATTTGGAGGTCCTTTGTGTGGAGGAGAGGTCAGATTGATTGAAGGCTGCATGCCATTTCTGCCTTTAGTCATGCGCCATGTGAGCCCTGTGTGTGCGTGTGTGTGTGTGTGTGTGTGATCGGCGCGATGTGGAGTGTCCGCACAGACACTGTCAGACAGAAAGACATACAGATAATGTGAGCCAGACGGATAATCTGCCTACAGGCACAGATGAGAGCCAGTTTACATGTGTGTGTAGACATAGTTCAACGACGATCAGTTGTAGTCCATGAGTCAATGGCTCCATAGATATCTCTCTGCTCCACGCCTGTGGGGGAAAAGCCACGAGTGATGGAGCAACCATAAACACGAGCTCCCCAGCCCGGGCCACTTTGCGAGCTCAAGAAGCGATCCCGAGTTCGGGATTGAATGGACGCATTTCAGCCACTCAGCGATGGAGGCTTCCGCGCGGCAGCCGGATCGCGCGGCGGCGCAGACAAGTCGTCACATTCATTCCGTTTTTTACTACGGTGGTTTCCTCTCCTGTCAGCATGTCCACGAATCCCAGCATCTTTGCGAGCGGGAAGCCGAAGGATAGCCAGACACCTGGTGGCAACGCCTCCATTGGTGGCACGACGGGCACTGGGCTCAATTCGGGAGCTGGGATCACTCCCGCCGTGTGGACTGAGCGGCAGGAGCCGTCGCCAGCGGACTCTGACCATGTGCCCGAGTCGCCTGCCAAGAGCGTCATCCGCATCTACAGGCAGACCGATGATGCCGCCGATGGACACAACCTCGAGTGAGCTGACCTACACACCGACCCGGGCGCGGACAGACACTACGTTTGCCGCTTTGTTGGCTGCAGGATGGACCACTTGCCGCGTGCGCAGACGGGCAACATTTACCGCACCTTCAAGGAGAAGCCCCAGCGGGTGCTCATGATTAAGCGCATCAACTCACCAAGCATGACCAAAGTGGCAGTCGAACTTGCAGTGTGAGAGAAGCACCAGTGGGGAGAGAGATCAGCCGTTGATACGATGGTACGTACGTGCATGTCATATGCGGCCTTTGCTCGTCAGGTTTTTGTCGGAGGAGCTTGGCCTGCAGGTGATCGTCGAGCCCACCGCCTCAGACAAATTCGTCTCAGCGGTATACCACTACACCCAGACACAGCACGACCCGCATCCGCACTGTGCGTGTGTCAGGGTGCGATGATGGTCAAGACGTGGCACGAGGAGGAGGGTCCTCCCGAGGAGCTGGGGAACCACATCGACTTTGTGGTCGCACTGGGGGGCGACGGCACCATGCTCTGGGCATCACACCTCATGACCAATGTCGTACCGCCCGTCGTCGGATTCTCCATGGTACCGACAGGCCCCGCATGACGGACGTTGTGCGTTGTGTGTGTGTTTGGCTTGCTGCAGGGTTCGTTGGGTTACTTGACTCATTTTGAAGTGTCTGAGATGAAGGCGGTGCTGCGGCGGATGGTCCACTCTGGCTTCTCCATATGCCTCAGATGCAGACTCAGTGAGCAAGCCGGGAGGGATGTGATGCACCGCTACGTGTCTGTGTGTGCAGAGGTGATGCTGGTTGACTCACGTGACGTGATTAAGCACGAGTTGAGCGCCATCAATGACTGCGTTGTCGACAGAGGTGCGTCAGATCAGGCAGCCACAAGGAGGAGAGTGAGGAAAAAGCCTGCACGGTTTTCCTTGTCTGATCGTGTGTGTGTCATGCAGGTCCTGGTTCTTTCTTGACTAACCTTGATGCGTTCTACAACGAAGAGTTCTTTGCAACCGTTGCAGCTGACGGGTGCGGGCCAAACGTCAGACAGGCAGACGAGTGGATGCATTGTGTGGTATTGGTTGATCAGTTTGATCATCGCAACTCCCACTGGCTCGACGGCCTACAGCATGTCAGCTGGCGGGTCCATGGTGCATCCCCAGGTGCCGTGCATGCTCTTCACCCCAATCTGTCCCCACTTCCCCTCCTTCCGCCCCCTCGTGCTGCACGACTCGGGCGTACTCCGCATCAAGGTCCCGGACGACAGCCGTGCAACCGCATGGGTAGGCCAAGCAACCTGACAAGACGACGCACAGCACACAATGCATGTCTGTTGGTCTCTCGTGTGTGTAGGTGGCAATCGACGGCCGTTCCCGCATGGAGATTCAGAAGGGGGAGTCAGTGATCGTCAAGATGTCGGCCTTCCCGTACCCCATGGTCCTCCGTGACGACGTCCAGCGGGACCACTGGATCGAGTCGCTCAAGGCCTTCCTCGTCGACGGGCCAGCCTCCGCCACCACCCACACACCAACCCCATCACTCGGCCCGGGATCGTCATCCCCACAGTCGGCTACGCAAGCTGGGGACGCGGCGGCCGGCAGCGCGCCCAATGCTGAGTCGGGTGCATCGCTCATTGACGGGTCACCGAAGCAGCTGCGGCCGTGCATCAACAGGAAGCACTCGAGAAGCCGCACCACGACCACCCTCCCTCACTCTCCTAGTGGCCCACCACCTCCCTGCACGTCGGTCGAGGGCCGAGGGATGAGGGAGGAGACGATCCCGCCAAGGTCGCTGAGTGCCATCGACGGCATCTTTGTGTGTGCCTCCTCGGTTGGCGTGCGTCGGTCGGGGGCGAATGTGCTGGAGAGTGATTCGAGTGAGGGGGGTGGGAGGGGCAGAGGGGTCAGGTGGCAGAGTGATGTTAGTAATGATTAGGGTCCGAATGTTGATGTGTTGGAGCCATGGACATTGACTGATATTCCAGAAAGACATTTCATTCCAATGACGAAGGTAATTGCATTCAATCATGAGTTACGACATCCATGTCGAAATTCATTCATTCATTCATTCATTCATGCAGCTAAATGTGTCTCGCCCATCCACCATGCACCCCGCCTCTCCGCGCTGTCTATCGACTGTCTGTCTTCGCTCTTGTGGGTCGGACATGAGTCGACACATCAATTCCTCCCGCTCTCACAGTCAGCTGATCCCCAGCAACACAAACTCCCCCCCACTGCTGCCCTCGATGCGCCAGCCCAGCTGCCACCACGCAAACTGGCAGTCGTCATCGCCCAGGTGCTCGTTGAAGCCCTTGGCCACGTCCTCCACACCATGCAGTGCCGCCTCGTCCCGCCGCGCCTTGTGCACCACCTCACGCAGCCCCAGACGGCCGGCCGTGTGCACCACATGAGGCGGACGGATGTCGGCCCCATCGGCAACGGCGAAGCACTGCAGCGGCACCCGCACCACCACGCCGCCCACACTCTCCCTGCGGCCCACCACCTCCCTGTTGCTGATGGCCCTGAACACTGCCGAGCGGACGAAGTGCTCGACGGCCGCACGCACACGCCGGGCCAGGACGCTGTGGCGCACACCGATGGCCTCACTGATGGCCTCCCGGGCGGCAGCCATGTCGAAGAGGTAAGATGCGATGCGCCAGCCGAAGATGGGCGCCTCGTGGGGGCCGACGGCCAGCCGGGGTATGAGGAGGGCCGCAAGTGAGCGATGGGGGGCGAGGGCATTGTTGACCGCCGACATGACGGCACCCGGCAGCTCCTTGAGCACCGTGGCATACTCGAGCAGCACAAGCCGGCGCTCACGGTGGTGCTGCTGTATGTCATAGGGGTTGTGGATGCTGTTGATGTCGGCCCCGGCCCGCAGCAGCGCACGGATGGTCATCTTGTAGTTGGGAATCTTGGCGCCAAAATACTTCTTCATGACCTCGCAGGAGGTGTGAAAATCGAGCCCCGCTGCAGCCCTGCCGAGGGGTGTGTAGGCAGGGTGGTTCCCCCGTCTGTCGATCTGGTCAGCGGGCAGCTTGCGGCAGAGGTAGTCGGCCACCTCTGGAGAGCCGTGTTCTGCCGCCACGTACAGCGGCGTCCCTGTATCGCTGTCAAATCCCGTCATCTCGGCGCCGTGCTGCGCGATGAGGTCCAGGTAGCTGTCCATGAACCACTGGGGATAGAGGCCCCCCGCAAAGAAGGCAGCTCTGTGCACGAGGAGGCCATCGGTGGCGAGGGTGGGGTCTCGTTGGATGAGTCGCTGATACGTCGACATGAGCACCTTCAGATAGTGGGTGGGCGGGGGGCGTTGGTCGGAGGCGAGCGGAGACAGCGGCTCGGGCAGCCCCATCAACGACCCACGCAGGTCAGTTCCGGGTTGGTTGTGCAGAGATCCGGGTTGGTCGTGCAGACGGTCGTGACGCGCCATAAGCAGGTCGAAGGCCGCCTCGTTGGCAAACCTGATCGCCACTTCAAGGGGTTTGAGTGCGGTGGGGTCAGCGCCGCCGTCGATGAGTGCAGTGAGGATGCCTTCCTGCAGCCCGTCGGGCCACTGAGGTAGGACGACGGGCTGGTCCGGCAGTCCATCAGGTAGCCCCTCTGCTGAGATGCTTCCGACGGTGTTGTCCGACTTGTTGTCGATGGCGAGATTCAGGAGCGAGTAGGCGAACCCATTACTCTTGAGTCCGCCTTCCTCCCCGCTGCCCTGCCGCAGCCGAGGCACGATCTTGGGGTCGGCTCCATGCTGCCGAATAAGTGCGGTCGCGTCGTGTGGACTGGCGATGGTGCGGCCGATGTCGCCCACTGCCAGGTGCTTGGTGGCCTCGCTGGTGCCCCGGGGGAATCGAGCCTCAATCTTGTCGACGCCCACAGCCGTCACCGGCACCTGAACCGAAGCGGCCGTCAAGAGGACGATAGCCACGCCTGCAGCACAGCACAACATAACACAACCGCCACACGACGCACACAGAGAGTGAGTGGGTGTCTGTGGGCATTTCATCGCACCCTCTCCCTTGTCCGGCGTACCGGTGTCCTCATAACTCTTGTCATAATAATTCCACCACATCGCACCGATGCTGCTCCGACAAGTGGTTCACTGTCAGCTGACAAAATCACACCAGGGCAGCAGACACCATCCGTTTGTCACCCTTCAGGCCCGCCGTTCGTGTGTGCCGGCGAGTCGGTCATCACTCACCGAGTCGGCGATGGATGATCCTGCGGTTGACTCGAGCAGCTGCTTCAGCTCCTCGCAACGGCAGAAAGGTACCTGAACGACACAAGCAAAGGCAAACACAACAGAGCGACAATTGCCACGGGCACTGCATACGCTGCGTCTGCGCCTACTGACGGTCACTGTGCGGTGCTGCCTGCGTTGCCTCACCGGCACTCAATCAATTAATGAATGAAACGCCCGTCCTATTGCGCCCGTCGGCAAAGCTGACCTGAACCATCAGTCACCTGCAGTCTGGCTTTCATGGTGTCTGAACAGTTGGTCACTCACCGGGGCGACTGAATCAATTGAACTGAATCCAGCAGGTCGGGTGTGTTAGCTCCTTCAGCAGCCTCCCACAGCAAGCGCATCAGTCAGGTCCGCTGTGCATGCGAATCAAAAGAGAGGCTGAAAAGGGAAATGGTCTCATCCGCTGTGGCCAGTCTGCTTCACAGCCGCCTCTACACAATGGCGGAGATGCCAGAAAACCAAAATTGCAGAAACCTAAGCTCGCAAAACTAGGGTGCTCCATGAAACCGCTGCTGCTCCAGAAAGGATCTGCGCGTGGAGTCGGTTGCGATAAGCGTCTTCACTTTGTGCCACGATGTCTGCAGAATACGCTGGTACGGATGCTTGGTATTCTCAGAACGTGATCCTTCGCAGAAAGCGATGCACCGTGTGGCTGTGTGACTGTGTGCAGCCATTCTTGCAGCTGGCGGCCTCTCCGGCATGGCTGCAGATGCGGTGAGGGATGAACAAATTGATAGATGGACAGATGCATGGCCGACTCATGTAGATAGATCTTTGCTGTGATCTCTGCGTTGTCATTGATTTTCTCATGGCAGGTGCTGTATCCCCTGGACCACTACAAGACGCTGAGGCAGGCCCGGCTGCCAACACAGCATTTGCACTTGGTGAATTGGACCAGCCGCGGGCTGATGACCACGGTGACCAAGGGCAGTCTTCTGACGAAGGGCGGCCTTCGGGCGATCCGCACGCTCTATAGAGGTAGTAGCTCGGAGGCGAAAGTGAGTGGGTGGGTGCGTGATTTGCTGCTCATGCAGGCCTGACGCCAACACTGCTCGGCAGTTTCCCCGGCACGGCTGCTTTCTGGGCCACCTATGAGTGGACCAAACGCACTCTCAAACGAAACAGTAAGAACGTGCTGATCAGTGATCAACTCTCGAAGCACATTAATGGGATTGGTCGCTGCCCTTGTGTGTGCTGTATGTCCCTCAAGTAAGGTGTGCTGCCGCCTTTTGTGGTCCATCTCCTGGCGGCATCGGCCGCTCAGGTGGTCGCGTGTGTTATCCGGGTGCCTTTTGAGGTGGTCAAGCAGCAGATGCAGTGCAGCGTGCACCGCCCTTTGTCGACACGCGCCGCCGTGTCGCGGATCTACGTCGCTCAGGGGATGGCCGGCTTATTTGTGGGCTATGGAGCGCAGCTTGCCAGAGAGGTGCCCTTCGACGCCTTCGAGTTCGCAATATGGTGGGTCGGCCGGTGGGTCGTGCGACACACACACATCAGTGCACTCAAATGGGAAAGGATTCGCTTGGTCTCTGTGGTGTGTGGTTGAAGGGAGAAGCTGAAGTATCATTATGAGATCTCAAAGATGCGGGACCGGCCATCGTATACCAATGAGATCTACACGCTCTCGCCCATGCAGTCGGCTGTCTGCGGGGCGTTGGCAGGTCGCCACACACGCACACACACACAGACAGACACAGACATAGAGAGCACAGCACACACAAATGTACGCGGCCGTCATCTGTGGTCGGTTGCTGTGTGTGTGTGTGGTTGTAGGCGCGATAGCAGGGGCGGCCACGACGCCCCTGGACGTGTGCAAGACGAGAATCATGACACAGTCAATCACGACACAAGGAGGCAAGATCAAGGTCGGTCAGCCACCCAGCCAACCATCTCAAGCCTCGACAACCATCCCGTGTGTGCATGTGTGCCTGTCACTGTCAGTACAAGGGTGTCAGTGATGCGATGGTCAAGATCGTCCGGGAGGAGGCCATGTTCCATCTCATGAAGGGCGTGGTGCCGCGCGTCCTGTGGATCGGCATCGGCGGCTTCCTCATGTTCGGCGCATATGAGTTCGCCAAAGACGCCCTTTTCAGGTCGCTCGAGCTGGGCCGGTATGAGCCGGCCGAGAGGGCCTGTCAGGAGTGCAAGTGCCTCAAGCCGACTAGCTAGCAGACAAAGAGGTGCATTCATGGGTGGGCGTAATTGTGAGCCGCCAAGGCTGCCGTCACTTCATGGGAAAGTAGAGTCGAGACATGGACGTTCCATGAACGTGTGGATGTGGTGGTGTGATATAAACAATGGATGTGACAGTGTGTGGTGTCCGCAACGAAAAATCCAGCACCGAACCCCTCTGACATCCCCCGTTATTAAAACTCCGTATGTCTGATGCGCCGGCGCCCGCTGTTCCCTCCCGCCCCTGCCTGCCTACGTGCCCCCTATCTAATGTGTGCTAGTATCGTGTTGTATTGTTGCGGCGGGCTGCTCACGACATGGTCGTGGCCATGACGGGCTTGGGTGCGAGGGCGGGGGCCAACTCGTAGCTCTCCGCATACATCCCCGGAGCCCCCTCCTGCAACACACCGACCAACACACATATGCAATACTCAAATGCGATGTGCGTATGGGCGTCGCAGTCGTGTGTATCCCGATGTCTGTGTGGTCTTTGCGTGTAAGGTCCCTCCCCCACCGACCCAGTGGATGGTGGGTTCGAACATGAATGCCCAGATGGTGGCGACGAAGAGCCCCAGGCCGTAGAAGACCATCATGGCCAGGTGCATCCAGAAGCTGGGGGCGGTCGTCGGCAGGAACACATACACCAGCCCCAACACCGCTGAACACACAACACAACACACGAGACGTGGGTATCCCCTTTGCGCTTCTCTGAGTCACTTCGTCACCGGCGAGTTTGTAGGACGAGGCAATGATCCACCCGAACACCATCCCAGGACCCTCCGTGTTGTTGAGCTGACGCCATTACGACAAACTTACAACGAGCCCCTTCATTCATCCATCCATTAGCACCTCGCTCACCTCCATAAGGAAGAATGCGGCGGCGTAGAAGATCCACCCGATGCTCGCGACCGTCTGGGAGATGAAGAGGGCACGATTGGTCGCACCAGACGCCAGGAAACCCTGCATGTTCTGCGTGGCGTTGCTGTCGAACTGCAACACATTCATCCACCATCCGGGCCGGACAGAAGACGATGCATGGCATGTGTCTGTGGACCGACCTTGCACAGAGCGCCCCAGAAGATGAACGTCGTGAGCAGCTGCAGGATGTCGAACGTCACGGCGTACATCAGGAACTTCCCACCAGCACGGAAACCTGCACACACACACTTGATGTCCGTCAAGACGGCGGGCGCATCACTCTCTGTCTTGTTGCACGTGTATGTGACCTCTGTTGGCCCTTTCGCCCTGGTGGAGAAAACCTGAACCGACACAACAACAGATAGATCCCTGCAGGTCTCTCTCTGCCGTGCGATGCATTGCATTGCAGTGGTTCCATCCATTCATTCATCCATCCATCGCACTCTGGAAGACGGCCAAATACAGGGCCCCCAGCTGCAGCACACACAGAGGGCAGGGACGGGTGGAGATTATGCATCCGTTGGGCATCGCTGGGATGGGTCACTCACCAGGAAGAAGAACGTAATGATGGCCCTGCACAACAGCAACACCACACACACACACACACACACAAGTAGACCGTCACGGCCAGCGCTTTGCGGTGTGGCCAACATAGATACGCACATTGGGAGTCGAAGGTTGACGGCTTTCTCCGCCGCGTTGAGTAGAGAATTGTCGCGCAGGGTGTCATCCGTGTACTGCACCACACCACACCACACCACACCACACCACAACACAACACACCACAACACAACACAACACCCACAACAACCCAACACTTCCATCAGTCCATTCCATCCGTCCGTGCATCTGTGAGTGCATCCATCTCTCAGACTGCTCCTCTCCTCACCTCGATGAGTCCGTTGATACCGTCGACGAAGTCGCCTCCTGCCAACGCATACCAAACGCTGATCAGCGTGATGAACGACACCAACTGCACCGCACACCGGGAAGAAAGGAGGTACGGCGCTGATCCTGCCCAATGCCCATCCTTGGCGGCGTCAGTACCTGCAGGGTGATGCCCACTCTGAGAGTGTTCTTGGAGAAGGTGTCCACAAACGCCTGCATATCCATTATCGCCGGCAGGTCGATAACCTTGAGCGGGCGTCTGCGGTTTTCAATCTCCGTTGGCCCGGGAGATCTGGCCAGCTTGAGATTGGGTCGCGAGTCGAGACTGGGGGTGGACAACGCGCCCCCACCCTTCGGGAGTTCTTCGGCGGGAGAGTCTGCACACGCATCCGTTGCCCGGTCCCTCCCCAGAGCGGCCCTCCGATTTGACGTGTCAAGTGGTTCCGTGTACATTGTGAGTGTTTGTTCGTTGGGTGACGATGGGCGGCTCTCTCTCCGCTGAGAAGAAGGCCGAGGCCCTGGGGGAATTCTTCTCCAGTAAGATAACAGCCGGGGGGAGGGAGGGGAGGGGTGCAGGGAGGCGGGGGGAGAGAAATGACTCCTTCTGCATGTCGTGAGTCGGCCTGTGTTGTGTTTGTTGTCGGTGTGGTGTTGCCTGGTCAGCCCGTCCCGGCCTGGATATGGAGCTCGTGGGGCATTTCCAGCAGATGGACACCGCTCAGGAAGGCACACTCGCATTGACGGTGAGAGGCAAGGAACCCCGTTGTCGACTACTCTCTATCTCTCTCTCTCTCTCTGTGCGTGTTGCCCTGTGGTACAACAGCCTCTGGAGCCCATGTTGAAGTCGGTGATCGGTCGGTACTACGGCCCCCCCGGTTTGGATGGCGTGTCGGACGCCCAGGGTGCGCTGTCTCCCAGGAAGGCCCGCGGCTACCTTCGCTACCTCGGCGTCAACGAGAAGCAGATGGACGTCGAGGCCTGGAAGTGCTGCGCCTGTGCATTCCTCCAGGCCGCAGAGGACGCTGTCATCAAGTTCCAGCAGGTGGGCCGACACAACGGAGGGAGAGAGGGAGGGAGGGAGACACAGTGCCGATCCATCCCTGTGTCTCTCTCTGTGTCTCTGTGTTGTGCAGGCCCAGCAGAAGGAGCAAGAGAAGCAGATGAAGGAGGCGCAGAAGCAGATGGAGAAGTACCAGAAGGAGCAGCAGAAGATGATCGAGACGCAGCAGAAGGAGGCTGAGCGTCAGCAGAAGGAGGCCATGGAGCGCGCCATGCCCAAGAAGAAGTCGTGTGGCGTCTGCTGCGGCGAGAAGGCTCCCGAGACCGAATACGAGAAGGCCATGAAGGAGCAAGAGAAGATGATGAAGGAGCAGCAGAAGGCCCAGGAGGAATACCAGCGTACCTACACCATTCCCCCACCCCCTCGCCCCCACCGGCACCAAAGCATGTCTTTGTGCCATTGGATCTGTCTGTTTGTGCTGCAGGTCAGTACGAGCAGGCTCTGAAGGATGCCGAGAAGGCCAACGAGCAGGCCCAAAAGGACTGGGAGCAGCAGGCTGCCGCCGCTGCTGCCGAGAGGGGCGTCCCGGCCGCCAAGAAGAAGAGCTCCTGGGCCTGCTGCGGCGAGAAGGCTCCCGAGACCGAGTACGAGAGGCAGCAGAAGGAGTACGAGAAGATGATGAAGGACCAGCAGAAGGCACAGGAGGAATACCAACGTACCCGACACACAATCCATCCACGTCTCTCCCTCATGGTGTCTCTGTCTCTGTGTGTGATGTGGTTGGTGGTCAGGTGAGTACGAGAAGGCCGTTGCGGAGGCTCAGAAGGCCAACGAGCAGGCCTACCAGCAGGCGATGGAGCGCTCCGTGCCCCCCGCCAAGAAGAAGAGCTCCTGGGCCTGCTGCGAGAAGGCCCCCCCGGGGCAGGCCGAGATGGAGAAGCAGCAGAAGGAGTACGAGAAGTGGGCCGAGGAGCAGGCCACTGTGCAGGCTGAGATTCAGGAGCAGCAGCGCATCCAGTACGAGCAGCAGATGCAGGAGATGCAGGAGCGCCAGGCCGAGATGGTCAAGGAGCAGCAGAAGATGGCCGCCGCCCAGGTCCGCGCCATGTACCCCGGACTCTTCAAGAAGAAGAAGAAGCAGAGCAAGAAACACAGACGCCGATGCCCCTGCTGCTGAAACACACAGCATGGTGGACAACACACACATACATAGAGGTCGGTGGGTCGGTGGGCGGGCACACAGCACACAGGCACACAAATGACCGTATGTCCATCTACCCCTGGCTCTCCCCTGCTTTCTGTCTGTTGTTGTCCCTCAGTTCCTTTGCCGGAGTCATCAATCGCTCGCCTGCCTGCCTGCCTGACTGCCTGCCGTCGCAAGCAAACCATACACACACATGAGGAAAAGCCCCACCGGTCCAGCCCGCCCCCAATCCGCTGTCTGTGTTTTTGGTGTATCCTTCCACCACCCATCCCCCAGGTGGTGTCGGCGAAGACGCCGACGCCACGCTGAGTGTGTACTGATTGCCTGAGCGACTCATGGATGCCATGGCTGATGGAGTGAATGAGTGCCTAGATGGATGGATGGATGGATGGATGGATCGTCGTTGCCTGCCTGCCTGCCTGGATAAGAAGTGTCGCGTAGTGAAAGGACAAAGGCAACAACAGACGGACTGAGCAATTCGCGCGTCAACGCGTCCCAGAACCATGACTGTGGAGGAGTGGATGGATGAATGGCAGGGAATCTTCACACTTGACGTGCCGATGCACCACAGCCACTTAACTGACGTCACATGTCCAATAGTTAGTGATCAAGGTCTGTATGTATAAGTGGACCAGCTGTACAGGTCGGTCGGTCTGTCTGTCTGTCTCCTCAAACCAGAGACCTACATGGGCACCGACGCACAAAGACACACATGTACAGTGAATGCACACGACTGTACAGAGCGGAGCAGGCTGACCACCCCTGCACCAACACCAACACCAGCACCCATCCACTCATTGATCAGCCGGGCACCGTCGCGACCCCGAAAGGAATCACCGAAGCCTTGGCCTCCAGCGGCACCTCACGCGACACCCGACACACCTGATAGAACGGCCAAACCTGAACAATTAACACGTATGTACCACACAAGCAAAGAAGGAACATCCGCAGTCAGCCGCTCCCCATCTATGCCATTGCTGTCAAAGCCTTCAGCCGACCTTCCAGGTGACTTTGCCGAGGAGGAGTCCGACGGGCACGGTTCCGTAATGGCGGCTGTCGTGTGAGTGCAGCGGATTGTCGCCCTGCAGCCACACGTGGCCCCGGGGCACGGTGGTGGTCTTGACGTCATACTGGCCGATGCTCTTGGCGCCGCTCACACCCGTTATCACTCTGTCGCCCTCCTGCAACCAATGGCCGAACAGGAGCACATGACTGTCCGCATCTATGTGTGTCCTACAGCACCCACCGTGGCAATGATGCGTTTGCACACGCGCAGCTGTGAGTTCTCTGGCGACACGGCAATGACGACCTCGCCCCTCTCGAAGCCACGCAGCCGATAAGTGAGCCGCTCGTAAATGACAATGTCGCCCTTGTCATTGAGCGCTGGAATCATCGAAGGGCCGACGGCCTGCATACCCCCCCACACACAAATCAACATGAAGATCTCCCTCTGCCATGGCCATGCATGAGCCGCTCTCGGTGTGTTGGTCACTGATTCACCGATGAGAAGTCGAATAGGTACTCGTGTATGACGTGGAGGACGCCGATGAGCTGGACTGACTTGGCCGCCACCCAGAGGCTCTTCTTGACGGACTCAAGTGACATCACATCTCACTCATCAGCCGACACCGGACGCGCCTCTGCTTCACTCCAGCAAACGTCCACATTCAGATCTTTCGTCCCTTCCAGCTGCGAGCTTGGCGAGCTTGGCTTTCTCGAGCCTCGTTTGTCGCCGGCATTTGCCGTTGTGTAGAGGCGGCTGTGGAGCAGACTGGCCACAGCGGATGAGAGTCATGAGACCATTTCCCTTTTCAGCCTCTCTTTCGATATCGCATGCATAGCGGACCTGCCTCTCGCGTCGTTGTGGGAGGCTGCTGAAGGAGCTGACACACCCGACCTGCTGGATTCAGTTGCCCCGGTGAGTGACGAACTATTCAGGCACCATGAAAGGCAGACGGCATGTGATTGTGTGTTCAGGTCAGCTTTGTCGTGGCGGAGAGCCATTCATTCATTCATTGATTGATTGATTCATCCATTCATTCATTGAGTGCCGGTGAGGCAACGCAGACAGCACCACACAGTGAGCGTCAGCGACCGTCAATCGTGGAAAGACGACAGTAACTGTTTGTGTACCGTTGAGGTGTCGGTGTGTGTTTGTGATGTCTGAGCGGCCCGACACTGACGTGCCCTCGGCTGCCCATCCGGTGCATGGCGAAGCAGGTATTTGAATGCCACACACATTCACAAGACACCATACACCCCCCCACGAGCATGCTTGTCAGCAGGTGGAGTGGATGTGCGTGAGCACGGCGGCAGCGGGCAGCCACACCAAGACACCAACCACGACGGTGAGCCACACACACAAAAAGGTGCACTCATTTTGTGTCACTCATTCTGTGTCACTTGTCATTCAGACGAGCAGCAGCGTGAGGGTGCGACAGCCGCTGATGACGTAAGGCACGAACTCCACCCACCCAACGTCATCGGGGGGCTATCTGTTTGCTGCAGGGTGGCTTACTGGACAGTGACCAACACAATGGATACAACTTCGACGAGAAGAGCGGTACGGCACGTACATGCCAAACCGGCACAACAAACATTCCCCCTGTTTGTTGTGCAGTTTTCACTTTTGACGGCGCCGCTGCCCCCACTGATTTGCCCATCAACTGGTTGACGGCCACCAACACGGAGATGCTCCTCCCTCGGGGCACCAACGAGGCCACCAAGCGAATGGCAGCGGGCATCGTCGGCCGCACCCTCACCGGCCCACACCAATTGACCGCCCTTATTCGGCAGCAAGGAGCCAACCCCCGTGCCGTGGCTGGGCTGCGAAGAAAGGGCAGCAGGTGTGGCTTCCGCACCAGGTGTGGCCTCCGTGTGTATTCGATGCTCGCTCTCGCTATCGACAACACATCGGGCAACACCGTGCTGTCGATCCGAGCTAATGCGGATTTGGATGCTGTCGCCCTGCCGCAGTGGACGTCAGATGAGCTGCAGGAGGCCATCCTGACTGCGCTGATTGACGGAGGCGCCGACGTGAACGGTGGACAAGCCCGTCACGCGGCCGATGGCGCGGAGGAAAGACCCCTCCAAGTGGCAATCGTATCCGGCAACGAGGCGGCATTCAAGCTGCTGATGGCGCAGGACAACATCGACCTGGACGGACTCTGGGTGATGGCGCTGCCCATGCCGCTGCTCGATTCCGGGCATCCCCCTCCCCCCGACTATCAGACTCGGCTTCTGTCATTCTACAGCACCCTCATCGAACGCAGCCCCTCTCTCGCCACCGAACAACCCCATAGCGAGAACGTGCTGCACATGGCAGCCATGCGCGCGTTGGGGTATTACTCCCAGTCGTTCATCAACATTTACCTGGACATCGTCGTACGGCACGGGGCAGACATGACGGCAGTCGGTGGCATCAATGGCAAAACGCCGCTGCAGACGGCGGCATATCTCGGCGCGCCCTATGTGACCGAGTACCTCTGCCGCAGGCTGCCCGTGGACCAAATCAACGAACCGACACTCACGCCCCTGGCCGAGGCTGCCTCTACCGCCTACGAAACGATCTCGCCGTACACGCCACCAGAGGACTTCCGGATGCGCAACCGCAAGCTGACCATCCGTTCGCTGCTGCGGGCCGGCGCCGACATCGACAGCATTGGCTTAGACAACAACATGCCCCCTTCAGCCATCCGGGCGTACCACAATGCCATCCAGGCAAGCCTCCGTCAGCGTCAGCTGGTGCTGGCCGAGTACGCGACAGTGCTCAACGAGCTGCCGGGTGCCGTCATCTCGGCGGTCAACAATGCCCTCGCCCCCCATCGCTCACTCGCGGCCCTCCTCACCCCCCGGCTGGCCGTCGGTCCCCACGAGGCGCCCATCTTCGGCTGGCGCATCGCATCCTACCTCTTCGACATGGCTGCCGCCCGGGAGGCCATCAGTGAGGCCATCGGTGTGCGGCACAGCGTCCTGGCCCGGCGTGTGCGTGCGGCCGTCGAGCACTTCGTCCGCTCGGCAGTGCTCAGGGCCAGCAGCAACAGGGAGGTGGTGGGCCGCAAGGAGAATGTGGGCAGCGTGGTGGTGCGGGTGCCGCTGCAGTGCTTCGCCGTCGCCGATGGGGCCGACAGCCGTCCGCCTCATGTGGTGCACACGGCCGGCCGTCTGGGGCTGCGTGAGGTGGTCCACAAGGCGCGGCTGGAGTCGCTCGGCAACTCGGCCCCGCGTCATGCGTTGCGCATGTGGGGGCTTGCGGATGCGGTGGTGAAGGGCTTCAACGAGCACCTGGGCGATGAGGACTGCCACTTTGTGTGGCGGCAGCTGGGCTGGCGTGTCGAGGGCAGCAGTGGGGGAGAGTTTGTGTCGCTGGGGATCGACTGACTGAGAGGGGGGGAGGAGTGATGCGTCGGTTGATGCCCGACACACAAGAGCGAACACAGCCGATACTGCTGATGGATGAGAAATGACTGGTTTTGGCTGCAGGCTCCTTGCTCCCTCTTGAGGTGCGTTGCCTGAGGGGCGAGCTGGTCAACTCGGTTTTTGTCTGCATCGTGTGATTGAGTTGGCGTGTCGGGTGTCCGTGTGTTGTGGTTTGCTGGCGTGGGTGTTGCGAGGATGATCTCGGGGGGTGGGATGGTTGCTTTGTATGCATTTTGTGCTGCTTATTTCCCCTCGGAACACAAGTGCACGTCTGAAGGCCAAATCAGTGCAAAGGCGTGTGCCTTGCGGACATCTTGCATGCTTGCACCTCTCGTGTGTGTGTGCACTGACTTACAACGTGACCACGATGACGCTGACACGTCAATTTTTCCATCCGGGCCATGGCGATAAATGCATTGTGACTTGTCAATCGACAACATGCATCAAACGATTTCACACGCACTGAGGCCATGAACGGTGGGTCAGGCGCTCCGCTTGGACTTCGCTACGCAAACACACGCCCATACATTCCCATACACCCACACAAATCCCCACACGCGAGAATACAGAATCCCAAATGCATGCATACAGAGACGTGGATACATACAAGAGGCAGGCGGCGAGGCAAGGCACCTGAGTGTAGTTCTGTCTGTCTGTCTGTCCTGCAGCGTCGCTGCGCTGGTTACATTGATATCCATTGATATCTACGTAGTGGTCAGTCAACCATAATACCTGAAGACAGACAGACAGACAGAACTACATGAAGTGACAAGCACACGCACGGACGGACGGATGGCCAGCGAGCCCGCCGGCCGGCCGGTCTGTGTGCGGTGCGAGTGTGGTGTCGGTCACCAGGGAAGGGGGAAGGGGAGGACGACGTACCGGGGATGGTCAGTGCCTGAAAGAGCACACACACACACACATGCATATCCATCCATCCATCCGCGTAGCCGTGAGTGGGTCACAAAGCCATGCACGGCTTCCTTCTTCCCTTTGGACACTCAATCAAATCAAACTGTCTCCCTCCCTTACGTAGCGGCCGGATGATGGTGAGGCGTATGGGGCGCCCCGGGCGGTCGCCCTTGCCCGCAAGACCCTCGCTCACGGGCAGGGCCTCATTGATGGTTTCGTCTTCAAAAAGGTAAAGTGCATCCCACATGTACGGCGCCGGGTAATAAGGGCTCTTCTTGATCATCGCCTTGAAGTCATCGGTGCACGTGCCGGCTCTCACATCTACGGGGAAAGGTTGTAGTCTTCGGCCGCTCTCCGTGACTAGCACCACCCACTTCCGAAGCATCTTTCGTGGGTTGGAGCTGGGAGGAGGAGGAGCTTTCGGAAGCAAGTCCGCCAGCCAATCTCCTAGCTTCGAGCCAGCGGGGAGCTGCTGAGTGCCGGGACGGCGGCGGGCGGGAGAGGCAAGTTGCTGCGGCCGCGACGCAGTAATAGGGGAGGGGCCGATGAACGATGCTGGATCAGCAAGGGGCTGCACACACACATCACACACACACACACGTAGACGAGTCCACGTGCGCTCTCGTGTGCTCTGCCTGCCCCAGATGCCCGTGGGTGTATGTGTACGGCCGGCGCTGCTGCCTGTCAGCTGACCTGTGTGCTGCTGTGTATGCCCTGCGTGGACAGCGTGAATAAGGCAAACAGCAGGGCAAACAAACTCTGCAGGAAACCCATATGGACGCAGTGACGAGAAAGATCCAATCACGATTTCGCCGCTCTGGGCGTCGATGGAGCGAATCGATGAAGATCTATCGACGCGCCGGGCCGGACATGACAGCGCCAATGAAGACAAGAACAACGGCCATACATATCGGTGCGTTGTGCTGGCGTGCTGCCTTTCGCTCTGTCTGAAGGTCGGATGAGTGCGACGGTGTTGCGATGCTTCCCATCCCCCGATCCCCATCCGTACCAGGGTATTCTGCAGACATCATGGCACATCGCGACCGACTCCACGCGCTTCCGATATTTTCTTAAAATCCTTTTCTTCTGCAGCAGCGGTTTCAGGGAGTTCTTTTCTTCTCCGAAGGAATGAGTTAAGTCCTTTTCTTCGGAGCCCCTGCGAGCTTGGCGAGCTTGCCTCTTTCCTGGTGAAATGCCTGTCCCCGTCTGTCCCGAGCGACAGAGCAAGACGACCACAGTTGACAGGTGAGAGCGAAAGGCAGCACGCCAGCACAACGCACCGATATGTATGGCCGTTGTTCTTGTCTTCAGTAGCGCTGTCATGTCCGGCCCGGCGCGTCGATAGGTCATCGATTCGCTCCATCGACGCCCAGAGCGGCGAAATCGTGATTGGATCTTTCTCGTCACTGCGTCCATATGGGTTTCCTGCAGAGTTTGTTTGCCCTGCTGTTTGCCTTATTCACGCTGTCCACGCAGGGCATACACAGCAGCACACAGGTCAGCTGACAGGCAGCAGCGCCGGCCGCACACATACACCCACGGGCATCTGGGGCAGGCAGAGCACACGAGAGCGCACGTGGACTCGTCTACGTGTGTGTGTGTGTGATGTGTGTGTGCAGCCCCTTGCTGATCCAGCATCGTTCATCGGCCCCTCCCCTATTACTGCGTCGCGGCCGCAGCAACTTGCCTCTCCCGCCCGCCCCCGTCCCGGCACTCAGCAGCTCCCCGCTGGCTCGAAGCTAGGAGATTGGCTGGCGGACTTGCTTCCGAAAGCTCCTCCTCCTCCCAGCTCCAACCCACGAAAGATGCTTCGGAAGTGGGTGGTGCTAGTCGAGGAGAGCGGCCGAAGCCTACAACCTTTCCCCGTAGATGTGAGAGCCGGCACGTGCACCAATGACTTCAAGGCGATGATCAAGAAGAGCCCTTATTACCCGGAGGGGTACATGGGCGATGCACTTTACCGATTTCAAGACAAGACCATCGATGAGGCCCTGCCCGTGAGCGAGGGTCTTGCGGGCAAGGGCGACCGCCCGGGGCGCCCCATACGCCTCACCATCATCCGGCCGCTACGTAAAGGAGGGGGACAGTTTGATTTGATCGAGTGTGCAAAGGGAGAGAGCTGTGCATGGCTTGGTGACCCACTCACGGCTACGTGGATGGATGGATGGATGTGCATGTGTGTGTGTGCACTTTCAGGCAATGACCATCCCCGGTACGTCCCCCTCCCCTTCCCCTTTCCCTCAGCGCCTTTCTATTAGAGGACGCTTTCTGGTGACCGACCGACATCACCCTCGATGAACAGGGAAGGGTTCAGAGGAGGGTGCTCCTTGCACACATCGGCAGTGGTGACCCCCGCTATGGCCGTGCTGACATCGGGCATCCCAGAGGATTTGGGCATCGCTGTCGAAGATCGCGGCGATGGGGACGATCTGAATGCTGCTGATGCCGATGACCATCGTCGTGTGATTCTGAGCGGCCACAGACCGGGCGAGACCCACCTGGCGGTTGGGTTGGGCGGTGTTGTGAATTCTGTCCACGACCGAGGACCTGTTGGTGATCGGTCTGAGCCGCTCGCCGACCGCTTCCCGCAGTCGATGGATGCCCCGTTGGCGTGCCGTGGGTGCTGCGACCCTTCCCTCAAGCGTGACGTCATCAACAGGGGGACGGACGGTGGTGGTGTAAGGGGTGGTGTCAGCTGGCCAGTGGGTGGTGCTGTCTGGTTTCGATGTGTCGATTGATGCCCGACATACAAATCAGCCCAATTGGAGGCGCGAGCGCCTCACTGCTTGTGTGCTGATGGATGAGAGTCGACAATTTTGAATGACTCGTCTCCCTTCTCCCCTTTGCATGAGGGACACGGGTGAACTGGGAGGGAGGGCACTCGCTAGCGGTTTGCATGTCCACACCCATGTTGAGCTTCAGTTGACTCGTGTGCCTGTTTTTATTTTCCTTCCCGTCGGAACAAGTGCACGGAAAGGTCAAAGGGCCATTGCCCCGATCCCCCTTGTAAACGTTCGTCTCGGCAGCTGCCACTTTGGTTTTTGTTTTCCTTGGATGTGAGCAGCCAGGATGAGAGCAGCCCTATTGCTACGCATCTGTGTGTCGCTAGCCTCTCTCGTCATTGCCTGCGATGCGTCCGGGGAGCCGCTGCAGCTGATCTACCCCGACGAGAGCCACACGCAGCTGCTCATCAATCGGACCAATGTCGACAGGCTCAAGCAGGTGCCGGCGCCCATCGCCGTTGTGTCGGTCGTCGGAGCCATCCACAGCGGCAAGAGCTTCCTCCTCAATCAGCTACTGGGTACCTACGGTGGTGGGCCACAGGGATGATCAGACAGTCAGGATGAGACGAAGCGGACACAGCCATGCAGCATGGGGCGAAAACATGGCCTCTTCTCGCAGTTTCTGTCGTGTGTGTGTGTCGCATTTGTGTCTGTCTTTCAGGTGAGCGTCGAGGGTTTGAGCTGGGCTACACCGTGGACCCCAAGACGAGCGGGCTGTGGTGGTGGTCCGAGCCGATAGACGTCAACGGCACCAGCATCCTCTTCCTGGACACCGAGGGCTTCTACGGCCCCAACATCACGGCAGACTACGACAGCAAGGTCTTCTCGGTCGCCACGCTCCTCTCGTCGGAGGTCGTCTACAACTCGGTCAAACTCATCGACCAAAACGCACTCGACTACCTGGAATTCCTCACACGTAGATCGCAGGTCGGTCGGTCGCTGGGTCGGCGGGGCGCGTGTACACCCACATGCAGAATGTTCCTCATGGCCATTATGTGTGTGTGTGTGTGTGTCCGTGTGTGTGAATGTGGTTCATCGTCAGCTGTTTGGTGTTCGCGCCCACACGTTCGCCAACAGCTCGGTGGCCGATCTGGTGGAGTCGCTGAAGCCCTCGGGCCTGACGTGGGTGGTGCAGGACTTCGTTCAGGATCTCAACGGCCGCAGCTCCCGCCGCTGGCTGGAGGAGCTCATCGACAACCGCAACAGGGAGGGCAAGAACGGCTCCATCTCAGACCTCTTCTCGCGAGTCGACTGCGTCACGCTCCCACCGCCTAGCGGTGACGCCTCCGCGCTGAGCCGTCTCGACCAGGCCGACGAGGCGGCATTCGAGCGCGCCTTTGTCGAGGAAATGAGGCAGTTCCGCGAGCGGCTGATAGCGGACGCGAGCCGCTTCCCCAAGACCAAGAGCGAGGAGCGCAAAATGAGCGGCGCCGATCTGGCTGACCTGGTCAAGTTCCTGGTGGCGGCATCTCGGTCAGAGGATGCGCAGCCGAAGCCGCCGAGCTCGCTGTGGGACCAGTACGCTCAGCTGCAGGTGTCCATGACCAAGAACGACATGCTGCGCAAGTACGAGACCGAGATAATGAAGGCCATCAACGGCACCCGGCCGCTGTACGACGACGAGTTCGACAAGCAGCACGAGCGGGTCCGCACAAGTGTCATGCTGGTCTTCTGGCGGCTGACCAAGGGGCTGGAGCAGTACTCCAAAGACGCCAGCGACAAGCTCAAGGCCGACATACACAAGGCCATGCGCAGCCTGCAGCAGCAGAACTGCCGCACCCTCACCGACCACTGCGAGCGGTGGAAGAGCGTCCACTTCCGGTCCTTCATGGAACAGATGGACGACATCCACGACACGCTGCCGCTCACGCCCAATGCGCTTGACAAGGCGGCCAACGAGGCCAGGGACGAGGCGACGGCCAAGCTGTTCGAGTCGCTGAGGGCGGAGCACCCCAACTTCACCGACAGCCAGTGCTGTAAGTCGAGCCTGGCGAGCTTCGAGCAGATCACCAAGGCGCACATCAACGAGATATCGCGGAATAACAGCAGGATCACGCAGAAGGCCGTCGACAGAGGTAGGTGTGGTGCAGGGGAATAGGGAAAGAGAGAGAGAGGGACCAGCAGAGAGAGTGACCGACATGTGTGTGTTTTTGCGTGTGTTTGCGTGTGTGTGTGTGTGTGTGTGGCAGCTCAGGCTCGGGCGGATAAGGTGTTTACCGAGGTGAAGCCCAGCAGTCTGGACATCTCACTGGATGACCTCAACAGCAAAATACAAGTAAACAGTCACCCACAGCCATCCCTCACCACAGCCATCCCACATCTGTGTGTGTGTCCGTTCGTGTGTGAGTGTGTGCAGGGGTTGAGTGATGCGTCGCGGGGTGCCTTTGACAGCGAGCTCGGAGGCCTGCACGGCCACCCCTACATGAGGGACTGGCGCGCCACCCTCGACAAGATCGTCCAGAAGGGCACCAAAACCGTAGAAGCCAACTGGGAGAAACGATGCGAAGACAACGCCGAGGTAACCAACCACACACACCCCAAGACCCACACACCCACACACCAGCGAGCAGCCTCTCTCTGTGTATCTGTGTGTGTGGTCAGCGTAAGATGCATCAGCTGGAGCACGAGTTCGAGGGGATAATCCAGAAGGGTGTGGTCTTCCCCGTCGAGGACCACACGCTCAAGGAGCACTTCGACAGGGGCAGGGAGGCCGCAGACGCCGCCTTCGCACTGCTCTACTGCGCCAACTCGTCCGCATGGAACAGGGTGAGTATCTCTGCCCACCAGAGTGCTTTTTGCCCGCTTCATCTTTGCCTGTGTGGCGTGTGTGGTGTGTGTTCCGTGTAACCAGGGTTTGCGTGATCTGCATCTGAGACTGGAGCAGCGGGAGAGGGCGCTCGACCAGCGCAACGTGGAGGCCCTCAAGGATATCGTGCAAGTGCCCCTAGACCAAGCACTCGCCGAGCTAAAGGTCGGTAACCAACACCCACAGCCATGGCGCTGCCCCCCTGTATGTATGTGTGTGTGTCTGTCTGTGTGCAGTCGGCTGTTTCATCCTACTTCATTTGGTGGCGCTTCCGCAAGGCGGCCATATCGACCGGCGAGCGGTTCATCCAGGCGGCCTCGGCCAAGTCGTCCAAGCACACCATCGGCGAGGCCCTGCTGCCCAAGGTCATCGACAAGTGGTGGAGGGACGACGTCACGCCGGCCTGCTGGAACACCATCCTGCGCAAAGACCTCACTCTACTCGGATACCTCTGCGCCGTCATCGCGTCCATCGCCGGCTCTGTCTACTTCTCACGCACTGGGCATGTCCTCTACTCGTCCCTCTTCGGGCTGGTGGGCGTTCTGCTGGTGTGGCTCGGCGGCGTCCAGCCCCAGTATGGGGCAGAGATCGTCAGCCGCGCTCAGGCCTTTGGCATTCAGGCGGGCCATGGGCTGAACGACGCCATGACCAGCCTCGGCTACACCCTCGTGGCTCTAGTCGGCACCGTTTTAGTCTTCGTGTTTGCGGGGTTCGACAAGTGGCTGCTCACCGGCCTCAACCGGGTGTGGCCGTCCCGCAGCGCGCGGCGGCAGAAGCCCAATCCCAATCCCAATCCGACAATGCGGCCGAGCTACTACCCCCACCACCCCCACCCTCAGGCACACAATGCGCCCATGTTCGGGTACCCCGCCCAGCAAGCCCCTGGGATTATCCGGTACCCTCCCTCCCCGATGGATCAGAGCTGGCAGGACCTCGCCACTCACCGACAGCAGGTGGGCGGAGCTGGGCCCTTTCCTGTAGCCTCGCCACAGCAGCAGCAGCAAGGCGACCCCTCCAACAACCAGAACCAGCAGCAGCAGAAGCCGGAGAGGCGGGGCTTCTTCGGCTGAGCGACCGTACTAGGGAGGGTAGACGTATCTCGTTCTCTCCCTCTCTGTGTATGTTTCTTATTTGTTTTGTTCCGTTTTGTTTTGTTTTCTTTTGGATTGCGGATGAGCTCCCGGGCTGCTGGCTGGTGGGTGGTGTGAAGCCATTTTTGCCCCCCTTCTGGATGGATGGATGGATTATACATTGAGATGCTTTTCTTGGTGTCTGGTGTGGGCTGCCTGCCTGCCTCCGTGTCTGTCTGTGATGAGAGAGAATTGACTGATTGCGTGTGCTTTATCTAGATATCCATCGCTGTCTGTGTCTGCATGTGTGGAAGTGCGTGTGGGCGACAGCAGACAGACAGGCGGAGACAGAGAGAGAGAGCGCATTTCGGGTAGTCAGGTCACAGCACACCCACCACACCGGACCACTCCTCCAATGGATGGAGTGTTTTTGCATTCTCAATCGCATCATGTGAATGTGCACGTGCGCGTGTGTGCGTGTGTGGGTGCGGGTCCCAACAAACCAGCCGACAGGGGAGGCGGCCAGATGGGATGGGTGGACACATATCCACACACACACAGTGGACGTGACGCGCACACACACAGAGAGAGATAAGAGTGAATGAATGGTTTTTGCTCCTTTGTCCTGGAAGGAAGCTTGCCTGCCTGTACCATAGAAACATACCAACGAACTAACTGCCGGTGCGTGTGTGAGTGCGTGGGTACCTTCCCTGTCTACCTGTCTGTCTGTCTGTCTGTCTGTCTGTCTCACTCAGCAAAGGCGGAACGGTCCATCTCTCTCTCTCTCTCTCTCTGGCTGCATACGTAGGTACGGCTGGCTGGCTGGCTGATCGAGTGGCTTGCCTTACTCTCCGTGTCATGGTGGCCGTGCCTGTCATGCTATTGATGATGCATGATGGTGAGACAGACAGATGTGTACATATCATCATCTCAACCGAACCCACAACACACACACACGTACACCATACACACCCTTACTTGTACGTCATCCACACAGCACCAGGGCAGGTCCATCCGTCCGTCCATCCATTTGATGTGTCCCACCCCCGCACAGCCCGCCACCTCCAGGTTGTCCTTTGCTCCCCTCCCACCGCTGATCAATATTAATCATGCTTTGTAGAGCAGGACAGCCACTTGCCCCAGGTAGAAGAAGATGTAGGTTTTCGACTCGTGGGTGGCGTAGCTGGCGAAGTTCTTACCCACCACACAGTGCCAGTTGGGCGAATACCTACACAAACACACAAACACACATACACAAAGAGCAGGAGAGGAGAAACGCAGACCGCCCCATTCATCCAGTGAGCCACACGGCACACAAGAAGGCTCACTTGGCGTCGAAGAAGGATTTGATATGTCTGGAGACGTCCTTCTCCGTCTCATACTTGCTGAGGGCGACAGACGCCTGCGCCACGGCGTCCGTCTGCATCTCCTGACTGTCCTGCACACAACACATACACACACGGGCACTCACTGCATGCCCAACCCCAACCGACGGTCAAAATGGCCAGTTTTTGGTACCATGTCAGTCTGCATCTTCTCGCCCTCCGGCATGGCTGCAGTGCGAGTGCCGTCCCTTCTCTCTTCCTTCTCCCTGCGAGCTTAGCTTCCCTGCGAGCTGAAGAGAGGGCGAGGGAGGGAGCTGGACAACATCAAACACGCAAGAGCACGCAACCACGTTCTCCCTGGTGCGCTTCCGCTTGTGCGTGATGGCCAAAAAGCACCCGCCGCCGTCCAGCAGCCCCTCATCGCCTAATCGCATATCAGAGCCGGCAGTCACTCCCGGCCCGCCCGCTACACCAGCCTCGCACACCAGTGAGAGAAGGAATGAGAGTAGCGACAAGCACGACAACAAGAGGGATGGCGCCACACAGATGGACAGACAGGGAGCGGTAGACGGCGAGGGAGAGGGAGAGGGCGAGGGCGCCATGTCATCAGAGCGGCCGGGGACGCCTTCATCATCTTCGGGCGGGTGCGAGGAGGACGTGATAGAGCTGAATGTGGGCGGTGAGCGGATGTCGGTGCTGCGGAGCACCCTCTGTCAGTGCGAGACCTCCCTCCTCACCAGCATGTTCAGCGGCAGGTGGGAGGCCGCTGTCAAACGAGACAAACAGGGCAGGTACACACACACACACACACAGAGGGTGGGAGGAGAGGTGACCTGACGAACACATCCATCCTTTTGGTGCTCTCTCTCTGTGTGTGTGTGCTCCCAGTGTGTTCCTCGACTTTGATCCGGACTGCTTCAAGGCGCTGCTCAACTTCCTGCGCAACAAGCGGATAGAGGGCCCTGGGCGGCCCGCCCCGCGGCCGATCATCCCGAAGGAGAAGCAAGGCGAGTTCGGCCACCTGCTGCAGTACCTGGGAATGACTGATTACCTCTTCCCCTTCGAGTACCACTTCAAGGTCAGACGCACAGACACACAGACAGAGGGAGGGAGGGAGGGATGGAGGGATGGAGGGAGGGATGTGGGTGTGCATATTGGTGTATGTTATGACTGTCCTGTCTGTTAGGTGATATCTGGTGCGATGCGTCTGTCTGAGCGTTGTGTGAGGCACGCGGGGGACCGCTATAGCTGTGCCATCATGCAGCCGCCCGTCAACCAAACCAGAGACGCAACCGTCTACTTCAAAGCAAAGGTACGCACACACGCCTGTCGCCAGTCAACGCACACACCCTCCACCATCTACCTCTCTTTTCTTCTCTGCATTCGTGTGTTTGGATGGATGTGTGTGTAGGTTCATCAGCTGGGCAGTGTGCCCCAGCTGTTCATCGGTCTGATAGGCAGCACAGAGGGCCTCCAGAACAACCATAGCGTCGTCCCTCACGCCACCTGCTACGGGTCGGTCCACCCACTCACACCTCACATCTCACATCTCACCAGCCACCCACCGCCACCCCCACAGGCATCCATCCATCCACAGGGCTCGTTGTATAATGAATGTCGTCTGTCTTGATTCATTCAGCTGGGGCGGAATGGAGGTGATCCAGGGCGGTCGCGACACGGGCTGCATCGAGGGCTGGGGCAAGTGGCGGGAGGGAGACGTCGCCGTCGTCAGATACAGCGGACGATCGGGACTACTGGCCATGGTACGTTACTCATACACACACACGCGGACAGGCACACCACCTACAGGCCCACCCACCTGTTGCGTCTTCCTGCGTGTCCCACACACCACACAGGTCCACCGTCGCATGTTGGAGGGTCCGCAGCTGTACAAGATCCCGGGTCTGCCCCGCAGCCACCAGGACTGGTACATCTGCGTGTCGATGGTCAACTCGGGCGACACCGTCGAAATCATGCCAACTGACCCCACAGAGGAATTCTGATCAATCTCATGTTGATGAGTGGCCGACCAGCCCGACGGTAGAGTAGACGGAAAGATAGCATAGACAGACAGACAGACAGACGGACACAGAGGGAGGGGGCGGGTCAATGTGTAACCGACGAGGGCGGGGGG